ATATAAACTAACAAATTTTATAATATTTTCCTATTTATTGATGTAATACATGGCAATAACATTTTGCTATAAAAACGACACATACTATAAAAATTGATAGTTGCCACATTTGAACAAAAAAATTTATAAAATCTCATTAGTTTATATAATGTTTACCCAATTTTAAACATGTTTAAAATTAGGGGCACTCCCCCGTTGGTTCTATATACAAAGTTCAAAATTTATTTAATCCCAAAATAAGACACTTGCATTCATTACTTCTACACATTTTTAATTGCTTCTACACATTTTTAGTTGTTACTAAAAAATTATATTTTATATTTTTTTTTTAAATTTGAAAACGCTGCCATATCCTACCACTGCCGAACTTTCGTCTTACAATCACCAAAGACTTGTTGGAATGTATAACATCGTCAAAAAATCGTCGAAGTATGGCCACAAATTCGTTGGAATGTTCTAAATGTCACCAAAAAAATCGTCAGAACATCCAAAACATCGCTGAAAAAAAAATATAAAAAAAATGAGAAATTAAAGCGAAAACATAGTAAAATTTAACCACATCCTCCCCAACATCACAAAACATGAAAAAAAAAAACAAAAACTCTTTATCATACAGAGCATTTTCAGTACACAAAATTGTAAAAATTTAGAGGTTGAATTTATTGTTTATTAAACTACATAAATTTGTTGTTTCAAAATTGAAAAAATTATCAGTTTGCTCATTTGTAATTTATTATAACACAATTTCACGTCACGATGATGGTGGAGATCCCAAATCAATAGTTTCTAAGGGTTTGTAACTTTTCAGTTTGTCAATATTTGCGTTTTTTTTTTTTTTTTTTTTTAAAATTAGAGCTTTAATTGAACTCTAGTGGAATGAAAAAGAGAAAAAAAAAAAGAAAAAAAAAAAGGCCAAAGTCATAGAGAAAAGCATAAACGTATCTTCAAAATTGTAAAATTTTATAGTTTTCACCGCTTATAACTAAAATTCGAAACATATTTGTTCAGAATTTGAAAATTTTCCTCATTAATCTAAGAAAAGAGAAGTGTGTAGCAGAGAAAAACAAGAAAAATTGAGAGATCAAAGAAAAAAGACAAACATAAAGAGGACTGTACTCCGATAACTATTTTGGTTTTGATTTGACCGAATCTGATGTAGAGCAACTCAGATCTGCTCTAAATCTGAACATTTCGGTGAGTCTTGTTTGATAATCTTGGCCAGATCTGAGTATGTCTATATTAAAAATATCGCCAAAAACTCATCTCATTCACTGTCTATGAGAGAGAAGCAAAGGGTCGGTAGTCAATGGTTACCGGTGAATCCCAATCGACGGTGGTCGTCGGTGGTCGGTAAGTGTATGTCAAAAAGAGAAAGAGACAAAGGAAAGAGTTTTAGCTTGTGGTCTTCGGTCACCAGTGAGCATATATCAAGAAAAAAGAGAAGAATGAAGAATGCTTAGAATTTTTGGATTTACACATAAGGTTATGAGACTAAATGGGGAACAAGTTTTTCTATCAAGACTTCTGAGTAATTTATCCTTAAAATTATTCTATTTTCTCTATGCAGCCCAAACAATCCTACCCTCCACCGTCACCTTCTTTTTGAATTTTTTTTTTCTTTCTATATTTTCTCTCTTTAATACAAACCCACCAATAGCACCCTAATTTATTTTTTGAACCCCATCTATTCAAAAAAATAAAATATTATTAATTTTATTCGATCATAAAATTTCAATTTCGCCTTTATCTCTAACCTCTCAAACCTTAACCCTAAACCTACCCAGTCACCACCAACTCCATCCATTCTCCCTTACCCACTCTAACTACGGCTACCACCCTCCAACCCCTCCTAACTTCTCTCGTCCATCCCCTGGCCAATCTTCACCATGGCCCCAATACCTTTGCAACCCCCACCCTTACGCCCACCCCTTGTACGCCTCTCTAGCCCTCCCTATCCTTTGGCGCCCTCACATATGCAACTCATGCAAACCACAGAGAGTGATAAAGATCAATTGGCAATGGCAGTGGTGGTAGCGATGGCGATAACGATAACAAAGAGGGTAAAGAGAGGCAAGGGTGTTAGCCAAAATTGAAAAGGGTGACTAGAGTTGGGAGTGGGAGTAGGAGTGTGAATGAGGTTAGGATTTAATAGAGTGAGTTAATTTTGATATTAAGGCTCTGTTTGGGAAGTATGATTTGGACTAAAATAGTCAATAAAAATAAAATAGGTTAAAATAATTAATAAGATAAAATGTCATATCTAAATTATAATCATTTCACTTTTTCTCTCACAACCATCAAATCAACTACAACAAAAAAAAAAAAAAACAACAACAACAACAACTATCATTCCAAACACAACTTTTTTAGTTAAGCTAAAATAATATAAAAAAATTAAAATGCCAACTAAAATAATCTATTCTCAAATGGGACCTAAGTGAAGTGTCCAAAAAAATGTAAAAAATTTAAAATTTGTTAATGGAATCTAAAAAAGTGAGAAGTCCATGGAATTATTACCAGTACTCTTATTTTACCACCATTTTATTTCCTACTACTTTTTTCCCTCTAACCCAAGGTTATCTTCAGCAGCCCATCATCTCCATAATATTTTTTTTTACTTTTTTTTTTTCTCCTGATTTTTCTCGCCAACCCAAATTGACTGGCCATTCCTATTTTCATTCATAACCACCATCTCCTTTTTCTTCATTTTTTATTTAAATCTTTTTAAGCCAAAAAAGACATTGATCTATTCAAAGGGATACTTGTCTGTCCAAACGTGGCCTATTTAATGAGATGCTTAATTTTTTCCAACCCAAATACTTATCATATATAATTTCGTTGATCAAACTAGCATTACATAATTCAAGATTTGGAGTCTATTCATAAAATGATCCTCTCAACCAATACCTTAAAAGCATTACTTAACAAAACTTAAATTGAGTGTACATTTTTTGTGACATACACTTTTATAAAACAAATGCTCTTTAGACACACGGTGACAAAATTCTTTAGGAAATGAGACTTAAGAGCAACTCTAATGGTGAGAATTGTCGGCTTGGGTTGGGGCCAACACCCTACCATGGCAAAAGTCTGGGATGAAGCCGAGTCACAGTCGACTTGTGACGCTTGACGCTATACTCTTTAACCAAATAAAATTGCGCATTTACTACTACCTATAGATTTTGGTGAGATAGTAAGCGCTTGATCTTACAATTAGTAACAGAATAGTCTTAAATTCGATTCTCCTAGAGGGCATCCTGCTTGCGAGCAGGTGCTTCGGGGGAGAGCAGATTGTTGGCCTAGATTGAGGCCAGCATCTTGCTGTGACAAAGGTCCAAAGTGAAGTCGAGTCACAATCGACTTGTGGCGCTTGATATTATACTTTTTAAAGATTAAAGAAATAAAGTTTAATCTTCACCACTACCTATTGATTTTGGTGAGATGATAATCGCTTGATCCTACAAAGTCAAAATACATTTGCCAAAACCATTTTTTGACTTGCTATAGTGCCAACAACACCATTTTTAAGTTATACCATTTTAGTGGTTCAGTTATTTTGACACAACCAACTCTCATGTCATTTTTTGACCATTGGATTGATCTATTTCTCAAAAAATATCTAATGGCCATGATTGTTTTTACCAATATGACAAATTTGACGAAGCCAAATCTTGTGTTAATTTTGACTGAAGATTGGGCTTTGTCAAAGTTCTGCTCCAAGACACGATGGAATTTTTTACAGGGGTATAGCCGAAAGAGCAGTGATAGAGCTCTAAATGGAGATCTGTATAATTGGCAGTATAAAAACAAAAAATAAAAAATAAAAAAATCATAGTGAAAAAAGAGACAAATTAAAATTATTCTTTTAGAACTCTAAAACATTTTCCTAGCCAAAAATCACTACAAAGATTTGGTAGAGATGCTCTAATAAGGATTGTGTAACTTTCAGTGCAAATTAATAAATTGTCAAACCTTCACATAGGAGATTTCAGCAGTTAAGTTGTTTCGTTATTTAGTTCTCAAAATCAAAATTTTAATTTTTAATTTTTCGTTCATAATTTTTTAATATTTTATTTATTTATTTTGTTTGTTTTTATTTTAGATACATCTAAACTAAATGTACTCAAAAAGTAAGAAATTTGTATTAAAAAAAATAAAAATTCAATAAATATTACAAAATACAAATATATATAAATTCAATACATTTTTATATTTTTTGTATTTATTGAATTTTATAAAAACTTCTCCAGAAATATTTTACTTTTTCAATACATCTAAATTAAATGCATCTAAAGAATAAAAATATATATATATATTTGTTCAAAATATTAAAAAAAATCATTAAAAATAACAAAAATACAAATTAAAAACTCAAAATCTAATTTTAAAAACTGGATGATCAAACAGTAGTTGGAAGAGAAATCTTTGGCACCAAAGACTTGTCCTCGCAAGTACAACATCATTGAAGCTCTACACCCAAAAAGCCCCAAAAAACTATATTTAAAAACTCCTAAACCACAGAGTGGTGACTATAATTTTTTTCTACCGCGGCTACTACCTTCCAGAGACATTTTTTTTCACTTAGATTGGATGACTTGACCGAACGATAAAAGGTTACCTTTAAGCCATGTTTGTTTAGATAGATATAAGTTTGGAATTGGACTAATAGTCCAACAAAATTATTAATCCGATATTTGGTTAAACAATTGAAGTACGAGTTAACAATCCATCCGGATATGATATCCCACATATGATAGACTATTTAATCCCACAGAAGAGAATGTGATATAAATTGAAAAACTAAGTCAAAGTCTGTACTATTAATCCCTCCTTATAATCCTGACTCAATCCAAACATAGGATAAAATACACAATCCAAAAAGATTTGTAATCTTAGGACTATTAGTCATGAAAATACTAATTCAACCTAATCTAATCCGCCTAAACAAACACGGCCTTAGTGCCTTGAATTGTGTACATCTTGCCGTCACTAAATCCTACTTTAACATAAGCCTTGTGCATAAAGTTGAATATGATCCACAAGAAATTTCCCAGACACGAATGCAATGGAAAGCAGATAAGATGGCTTTCACAATGTCCAACAACCCAGAGAGAGAGAGATTTCACAAACAGCAGACCAAACAAGGGGTAGCCAGGTAGCACACACCAAGAATGCATACCTAAAAGAGCACTTCAGCATGAGAATGCTACTGAGTAATTTTTTTGTTTTGTCAGTAAAGTACGTATGGACTATGGGATGACAATGAGCTCTTCCAGACACTAAACATTATATGATTATTCAAAATCATGTTACATTATAATCAGACAATTGTGATTTAGCGGGCCTAATATTCTCTATATCAAACTGTACACAAAACAATCTCCCAGAGAACTTCACGTGGAGACAGGCCGGAGCTTTGCAAGTTCTGTTTGGCGGTGGCCTAAATGAAATGCCGTGAATAACCACAATAAGCAGACCTGATAACAAACCAAAGAGACAAGGAATGCTTATGTTGACCCACAAGAAAGAAAAAGGATATGTAATATATATGCTTATGTTGACCCACATTTTTTAGACCAAGCCTTTTTCTTTTTTTTTTTCTCTTTTCTTTTTCCTGATAACTAGGTTACTGAATGCACATCCAAAATTTGAGCAGACGTGTTTGGCAAAGTGATTTAATCTTTGGCACGGATGTACATATGACAATGTGGAGATAATCTAGAGAAGATGCGATCATACCACATGGCAAGGTGATACCACATAACCACAATATCAACAAAATATGTTGACACAAACAAGGTATTAAGCAACTACAACCAAGTTATCGATTAAAACAACATAATATATCAAGAATAAAACAACTTATACATACTGGCAGGGCATAGAGAGAAACTGTCGATGCTTTCCCATTTAGAGTGCTGAAAAGGAGTTTGTAGAGTCCTGCTGCTGTAGCATCTCCAAGCCTTTGAACGATTACATCTATGCATACCTGCAGAGCATTTTGTGTTTGATAAGCCATACTCAATGTATATGGCATTTCAATAACTAGGAATTTTGGATATGCAAGAAAATTTCTATATAGATATCTAATGTGACATCATAAATTGGCTTGCGATGAAACAATGTTATGGAATTAACAGAAAAGAAGTGTTATTCATTCATGCAATAAAACATCACAAATTTCGACATCAATAACATGACAAGCCCATGATTCCAATAATCAAAGAAAGTTAAAATCTACTGGAACAAAGTAATTCATGCCTTAGCTTTGTATTTCTCCTCTTGTGAGACGACCGTGAAAAGAAGTTCTCTCCCAGGTCTGGTTACAACGTAAGTAACCACCTGCAAAGCAAAGAGAATGCAAACTGTAAGATCATTGACGCTACAATGACAAAATGACCTTTGACTCAGTCCCCCTTGTCATAAACCCAGTTGATTTTAACTTTGTCAACCACGGATTTCTCTGAAATAGCTGCCTGCTAGATGAGAAAGCATGGTCTAACCAAAATATAAAGATAGATACATAAATCAAGCAATTATACAAGACAAACCTTTCGTAAGGTCTCAGAGATGGCAACTGCAATCCATGTTGGCCACACAGCTACAGAAACCAAATTTACAAAAGCAACAAATGGAGCAGAGCATATTGCTACAGTAACACCAGCAACAGTAAGTATGCGCCCCTGTAATCGAAAGAAACAAATTGACAGGTAGAAAAGCCAATAAAATGATAATACACAATCTTCCCACTTAAAAAAAAAAAAATGAAGGAAATGTAATACATGTGCATAAAGAAAAACATGATGCTGGAAACTGCAAGGAAAGGATACACTCTGAATATTGGCCAAGGATTCTTAAAAAATACTAATAAGTTCAATGACAGGAATCCATCCCAGCAGAGTTTTGTACAAGAGCAGCAGAGCATCTATGATGCCACATCTATTGCAAAATAAGTATAATAGATCTTGGAAGTCCAAAACGAAAACCATGGGTCCCATGATCATCAAGAATCTTTTTTGGTCCAAAGAAAGTGCCCAAGTGCTTAGGATCGTTATTTACATTCATTCTTGCTTTGGGTCAACTTACAAAATGGGTCATTATACAGTGGCGACTCTAGAAATTTTTTTCAGAGTGTTCAAAGTGGGTACTCCTTGAATTTTTTTTTAGACATCCAAAAATTTAATTGTTTGACTTTTCAAATCATACACAAATAAATAGATAAAACAAATCTCTAATATATTGATATCATTTTTTCAAAAAATAAAATGTAGATACAAAAATTTACATAAATATATTTTGTTTTTATCACTAGAATAATAAAATGAAATTTTTTTTCTTGTAGAGTCGGATTTCTCTTTGCACCATAAGTTACAAAATAAGTTTTTAATTGGTCAATAAATTGTGAACAAAATTAAGCATAAGATTTGAGATAAGAAATAAATACATGGATAATTTTGTCAAAGAGGTACTTTGCACAAGCTGAGGAAACAAAGCTCCAAAACATGCTGTTTGTTCACTTCACAAAGCATACATAGGCCTCGTTTGGGAAGTGGCTATTTTAGTAGGCTATTTTAGTTTTTGGCTATTTTAGTAAGCTAAAATTTTTGTATTTGGGAAGATGATTGGATTTTTTTATGGTTGGATGTGATGTTTGTGAGAGAAAAAGTGAAATGATTATGGGTTTGATGTGATATTTTGTCTTATTAGTTATTTTAGTCTATTTTGTCTTTTTGTGATTTTTAGCCTAAACTAGGCTATTTTTTTTCTTCCCAAACACCCCCATAATGATTACAGGGTTATGGGCTGGGTTGGGTTGAGTGTTTAAGAAAGTGGGCTGGGTGTTCAGGAAAGTGGATTAGGGTGTTCAACATAATGCTTTGGGCTGAATTACATATATATATATATACTCTCTCCGTCTCAAAATAATGGCCCCTTTTGGGGAATTTAACTTTTTTTAAAAGTACAATTATTATATTTTAAAAATATTAATTTTCCAAAATTACCATTTGATAGTATATTTTTTTAGGAATATCAATTGTCATAATTGTATTTTTTGTGTTATTAATGAATTTAAAACGACAAAATAGTAAATTTATATTATTTTATTCCTTAATTTTTGAAAATGGACTAATATTTTGAGACAACGAAAAATGAAATAAGGGACTAATATTTTGGGACGGAGGGAGTATATAAATTCCAGGGTGTTTGATCCCTTGGTTGTACAATCGCCCTTGATTATACATACATTTTTATTACGTTTGGAATCATCTTACTTAGTTGTCAAAAGGTCAAAATTTCTTACTTTTTTTGGTACATCAGAAGCTGCGGCCTGAGGAGGAACACTTGAACCCTTAGCCTTCTAGTAAGATGCAAGAGTTTTGGCCAACTAAGCTTAGCCCCAATTGGTTTAAATTTTCTACTTGGAAGCACAGTCATAGTTGGAGTAGGATTAGAAGTCATAGTTGGAGTAGAATTGGAAACAACCCAATATAAACCTATGTGATCTATATATGCAATAGGAGTTGAGCTTTGGAAAATTTGTGATTGTGTTCTGTATGAGATTTGCTTAAACCTTCCGAAGGTAAGCCTTTGGTTTTCTCCTCCTTTCTTGTGATTTTTTCGACACCTAATGATCTGTATCCATATTATAAAAGCTATTGTTTTCAATCCTTAGCTAGCCCAATCAATCCATACACCAAGACTTAAACCTAACAACCAAAACCTACAGCAAACCAGAAAGGCACTATTCACATTACCACAACAATCTAAAAGTCAGCATCAACACTCTTCCACATAAGACCTAATAAACACTAACCTCTTTCGCTGTCTTTGACCGTTGATTTAATTCCATAACCCACAGTTTAGTCAAAAGCATTTTTGTTTCCAATTTCATTTTTTTTTTGGTGGGGGGAAGAAAGAAAGTTACCAAACAGGCACTTAATTATTGTCCAAACCCTTAAAACCCTAAGTTTTCATAAAATCATGCAAGCTAAAAGTTTGCAAATCAAGCATGTTCTTCCTCTTCATCCACAAACCATGCACTCTTCCTTCTACTATTCAAAAACCCTAACTCTAAATACATTACGTAACATTTTTCCCACCATAGAACATTCACAAGGATGCTGGATGTGCCATATTTTGAGTACTCAAAGTTGTCCTATATCAATAGAGTTGCACTAAGGCTCTACCGTAGTCCTACATTTTATTTGTGTACTTTACTCCAAGTTAATTGCCAGTAATTAGCACAAGTTGGAAGCCATACAAGCTGGATTCCTACAATAATTTCAGCAGAGAGGGATTTGCCCTACTTCCCCCTCATTTAGAAATGAAATGACCATTATTATCTCATTACATTCAAAATTACACCACAAGGGGTTTCATGCAGCAATATGTTAGAGCAGAAACTTGACTTCCGCTTAAAAAGCCTAAAAACACATATACATTAAAGATCATAGTCAAGAGTGGGAGACAAGTTTGTCATGACATATAGCCTTCAAGGAGTATTACAAAGTGAAGCACAATGACACTGAAGTTCCCTTGAAAGAAGGGGGTTCAAGTTGAATTTGGAGGATAAACTAAAATTGATACCATAAAAAGGTAGTAGTTTTAAACCATGACAGTGCACAGACTGGGAGTGAAGAAACTAAACAACATTATTGGGGCAGAAAGGTGTCATTTTCTTCCAGTAGCTACCAGATATCCCATCAAGCAAACATTTTGACATAATGTCTTGTAACTTGTAAGTACTAAATTCGTTAGTAAAGCATACCGTTAAAGTAAGTTGTCCAGCAAGGATAAAAATAGCAATAAAACTATTGATCTGGGCAAACAATTTTCTTCTATCTTAGTAAAAAGAATAAAAAAATGCAATTTAATACCATCTCTATACAAACTCTAAAATTGGAGAAGAAATTCCGTATTGTTACCTTAAATAGAAGCGAAAGGTTGTGAAATCATCAAGGATCATGATAGTGAACTTAGTTGTCCCTTTCCAATTTGTTTCGCTTTTGGTTTTTTCTTATTACTACAGTCATGGGAGTTTGGGTATGGATCGATCTGACTTGCAATTCTATATGATTCTACTTGCAATTTTGTTATAATACTGATTTTATACCAATTTGGATCATTTGGGCAATCTAGGATTGTAGGATCATATAATCCGGACTGCAATTTTCTTAATCATGGTTTATAGATGTATTGGTAGATGGAGGAGGAGATTGATGGTGATGGGGCTTAAGGTGACACATGACAACATATGAGCGGCGCAATTATAATTAATATTTTACATCTGACTGTGTTTGATTTAATCAAAGGTAAAATGAAGATTTAAAAAAGTTTGTAACTTCACGTTAACGTGTCTTGTAACGGTTCAATAATGGAAGGGGAATTTTAGAACATATCATAGATAATATTGTCTTGGTCTCTGTAATTGCTAGAACCATATAAACAAATCCATTGATAACAAGTTTTGAGATCAAATATAAAAAAGAAACAAGAAATACACTTGAACTTTATATGACAACAAATGATATTTTTTATTATTATTAATTACACTTAGCACCCCTGCACTTTCACCACAATCACACTTTGAACCTTCCACTTTCAATTGTGATGATTTACCCCTTACACGTAAAGTCAAGTTGCAATGTTATACGTATGTCTAACATGACAATGAGCTAGACGTTCTATTTTTTTGGGGAAAATTCGTAAAATCAACCATCTTCCCACCTCATTAGCACCAATGCACTTTCGCCATAAATCTAATTTTGGTCTATCCACTTTAAATTGTGTTCTCAAAAAAATGTCACGTACAGCTCTTCTGCCAATTTTAGTCATGCCAAACTCATTAACGCCATATGTACAGAAGGGTGACATTACAACTTGACCTAAAGTGTAAGGGGTTGATTGAAGGGGCCAAAGTGCAATTTTGGTGAAAGTGCAAGTGCTATGCTAAGTGTAATTAACCCATCTTACTTTTAGTAAAATTATAAGACAACAAATGATCATCATGCGACCCAGTCAAAATTAACAATATAAATTAAGAGGCTGCTTTATAAACTTCAACAAACTACAAAACAGAAAGAGCAATTTTGAAATGAAGCCTATTCTTACCTGAAAATAAAAGAATGAAGAGATGACCGCACTCAGCCACAGAAATAATGACACATATAACAAATATGTTGAGGACAAAATAAGCCGAACTCCATCTAATATAGCCCAAAGATGAGGCTTCACCACAGGAGTGGAGAACTTAGGGGAAGATCCTCTAGGTGTATGTGCAGTTTGTCCATCCTCATTACGTTGATCAAGTTCAGCTTTCCTAAGAGCCAAAAGAACTAAGTCAAGAAAAAAAGGAAATTTGGCTTTTAAAGTCACTCCAAATAGCTTTCAACTATAAAGGATCATTACTTACCCAAAAAACTATAAAGGATCAATCAAGTACATTATTAAAAATATAGACACATTTAGCAGTTCAACCAAAGGGAACCAATATATTCTCAGCATAAAATATTTCTGACAAACATCTCTTTTCTGCATACCAGCGCAACTTATGCAGATTGTAAAAGCTAATGTAAAAGAAAATAATTGAAAAGCACGTATATTAGATTAGACAGTACATGTGTTAGCTTTTGAAAGCCTTCAAAACCAAACAAAACATATTGTATATCTAAATGGTCACATACAAATTTGTACTTGGTGAATTTATCTTCTCTTTTTTTCTTTTTCTTTTTCTCCCCAAAATGCATGCTTGAATAAGGGCTTTTGAATACTACTGCCTTAACTACCATCCCAACCTCAAAAAAGAGAAGAAAAAATTTTATATACTGCACACGTATAAGATTATAGCAAACCATTAAGTAGCTGATCTTAGAGCTTCTTCAGGCATTATATATGCAAAAATCTTGACTGTCACAAAATTGTTATATAACATACCTCTTGTCTGAAATTACCATGTTTTTTTAATATAATCATTCATTTATATTTTAAAGTCTGTTAATCAAAAGATAAATCAAACAACAGTTGTTACAGTTGTATTTACAATCTATAATAGTAATCTTGTAATCCCTAAACATGCATGCGCACACAGAACCAAGAAAAATGTAATTAGCAAAAGAAAACTTCAATATTTTAAATCCCATATCCCAATTTACCTAAAAAAATAAATAAATAGCTAACTATATTCCATCCTAATTACAGATTCCAATTTTGTATTTCCAATAACGAAACAGACCAAAGTATTAACATGAATCTCAAAAGTCACCATCAGAAGAAGAAAAAAAACAAGAGAAATGACAGATAACTGACCTCATAGGAGACAATTCCTCAGAGAGATGGGATATATCCTTATTGATCCTTTTTGATGACTGTGAAGCAAGTTCCATCAACAGAGCAGCAACTAGGAGTAAATCTGAAGAAATGAGTAAAAAAAAGAAAGACAAATTTTTTTATAAATACATAAATAAATAAGAAGGAAGCAAAAGAATTGTTTATGGACTCCTGAATTCCAAATAAAGGAAGAAAGCATGCATACATGGTCCCATCCAGGCCATTCCTGTGGCAAACAATGAACCAAAAAGCTGGCCAAGTGTAGCACCAGCACCTACAAACCCAAACAATCTTGAACCTGACTGGATAACAAACAGAGTTAAATTATGCACAAAAAGTTGCACTTATCACTAAGCGCTCCACAAAAAGTCGCACTTATCACTAAACACCACACGGCAGCTTACAGACCTCACTGTCCATCACATCAATTACTCTAGCCCAAGTTGAAGAGATAGTAATAAGATTCAGCAAAGCAACCTGCAAAGGCAAGAATTCCTATAGCAGCTAAACTTCGAAAATATTAACAGTAATTGACAGCAAAAACCAACAGCAAGTAGCTCAGCCCAAAGAATAAATACCGTCATACCCAAAGGAACAAACTTATTCTGACTGAGACATAAAACCATCCATGGTCACCCCATCCCCAACCTTCAGAATATGCAGGAGTGGCTTGATTAACATCAACTTTTAGCTCTTCTTTTATAGCGGGGGACATGGAAATCAAACGCTAGAAATGGAAAAATTATAGGGTCAAACAACACAAGAAGCAGAATTAAATTGCCAGTGTGACAAATAAAAGATTTCCTTGTCATGGAATTCTTGTCATACCTTAAAATTGGGAAGTGTATGTTCAGGCGAAGAAGAATGCCATAGAATGAAAAATAAAATAAGAGACACACCAAAAAACCTGTGTATCAAGACCAAGGCCTGAAATATCAAAAAGACACTGTTACACGATGCTATGTAAAAGAACACAAACCCCACTGCTGATGGTCAGCTTTGTATTCTAGAAAATGAATAATCACAAAGAGAAAACAGTCAATTGTATGGAACTTATGATAGAAAGAAGACCTCATTACTACTGAAGTGCAATTTCAGTCCACACATCATTTGACTGTGCATTGATCATTACGCAAAGGCTTATATGCAATTATTCCTTTTTAGAATTTTTCAGTCTGTTGATGAGACCTTCACACCACTCATCTTCAATGTGACACGGAAAAAATTGGTAATAATTTTAGCTTATTGATTGTTTAATCTCTTAGTTAACAGAAATGCTTGAGACCCACATTTATGCGGCAAAAGAGTAGAGCTTTATATCATTGGTTGTATAATAGATCAAAAGTTGACATCTATTATATCATATCTGAAAAAATCTAGAAATCCCCTAGAAATTGATTTGTGATTATATATCAATTTTAAGCAATAAAACAATCACAATCAAACAATCAAGACAAATCGACACAACGATTTTAACGTGAAAAAACCACAATTGAAGCACCTCCAATTGTGATAAAAAAACCACGAGCAACAGTCACAAAACAATCCACTAAGAAGATATAAAGGAATTACACAGGTATACTCTCAATTACCTAGCGAATCCACACCCGAATTGAACCAACCCCTATGTGCCTCTTCCAACCCCATCTTCACCTCGGAATTGTCTTGACGATGAGCCACTCCAGAATCTACCAAAGCTTCAAGCTCAAATTCTTCAGAATCCACCGAAGAACAACTCTCTCTTTTGTGTAGAACAAACAAATAATCCTTTGATGTATACTCTCTTTAAATCATGAGTTGAATACTCAATCAAAACATCAAAGAAAATTAGCAAAATATCCCCAAATATAAACATTAATATCCAAGAAGAAGATCTGGAGAAGTAATCCTAGTTTTGGACTAAAACAGATATTTATAGAAATCTGGGACTGCGAAACTTGCTCGAGCGAAGCTTCTCTCGCTGGAGCGAGGAACCAAAAACGCGTGTTTTCCATAAGTGGCTTCGCTCAAGCCAAACACCCTGCGCTCGAGCGTAAAATCATTTCTTTCAGGTTTTTATACGGACGCAGCCTTTGCTCGAGCGAGAACTCCTTCGCTCGAACAAAAACTCCTTCACTTGAGCGAGCAAGGACGGACATGCAATTTCGAATGCAATTTTGCATTTTGCTTCGACGGCGCTGCCCCTTGACCCCGCCTGGGCGCTAGCCCAGACCCGCCAAGGGGCGCTGCCCCCTCGACCCCCGCGAGCTGACCAGGCAACTCGATCCCCGTCTTAATCAGCGGAATGGCAATCTTGAAAATATTAACATCACAAACTTCTCTGCAAAGCATAATTCGGATTGGATTCGCATCTAAAAACTCATAGCCTTACTAAAATAAAAAGTGCAAAAATAAATACAACTGAAAGAAGTTTTGTCAAACGGGATTGCCAAGAATAAAAACTTAACAATATCATTGTGGGTTACCTTGTGAAAGCTTTTTGTGAGTCTCAAACAATTTCCCTTAATTAAATAGAATAGCTTATTAATTAGCCCTTGTTCTTTAGAACAAGTACCAATGGGGTTTGCTTCAACAATTTAATTAGCTTATTGATTGTTTAATCTCTTAGTTAACAGAAATGCTTGAGACCCACATTTATGCGGCAAAAGAGTTGAGCTTTATATCATTGGTTGTGTAATAAATCAAAAGTGGACACCTATTATATCATATCATTGTGGGTCAACTTGTGAAAGCTTTTTGTGAGTCTCAAACAATTTCCCTTAATTAAATAGAACAACTTATTAATTAGACCTTGTTCTTTAGAACAAGTTATTCTATTTATATCATATCATTGTGGGTCAACTTATGAAAGCTTTTTGTGAGTCTCAAACAATTTCCCTTAATTAAATAGAATAACTTATTAATTAGCCCTTGTTCTTTAGAACAAATACCAATGGGGTTTGCTTCAACAAGAAACTAGAACAGAGTTGGTGTTGGTACAAAAATTGTAGTGTTTGTATACCTGAGGTTTTTAATATCCAATCTTTAAAAAAATGATCTTCCCATGACATGTTTGTAGCACTTTCATTAAGCCTCCAGTTGTTTTGATGTCATTTTTCGTTATTTGGTTGAACAAAAAATAAGTAAAATATTTTTACATCATTTTCCAAAAATGACTTACCTTACCTTTAATTATCCTTTCAACACATTTGGCTTTTTCATCTTAGTTTACTAAAAAGTCATAAATGACCCTGCTTCGTTTGGGATGTGAGTTGACTTTTTGACTTTTTGATTATTTTAGCCTAGGGATAAAAAGCCTCGTTTGAGAAGAGTTTTTTGACTTTTGTGAGAAAAAAAATGAAATTATTAGAGTTTGAATGTGACATTTTTTAGCCTGAGCTAAAAGCTTAATAGGTCTCGTTTGGCAACATCATCTTTTAGCTTAAAAATCGAAAAGCCAACAACCTATACCAAAAAGTCAAAGATTCTCTTTTTCCTCTATTTTTTGCACATATTTTTGTAAAAAATTAAAAAGTCATTCCAAACATACTAATTTTTTTATCTTATATTTTAGCCAAAAAAACCAAAAAGTTACTTTTAAAAGTTTGTTTTCAAACAAGGCCAACCCACCCTAACCCATCATGGAGTGCTGAATCAAAATTTCTCTTTTAAACAATAAAATATTTTTGTTTCAAGGGTAAACCAAATGCCAAAAAACAAAAACAAAAACATTTTATTTTGTGTAAAATCAATTTTCCAGATTTTTTTTTTTTTTTTTGGTGTGTGTGTGTAAAATTACGTCGAGACAAACGAGCAACTTTGTATAAAGACATTCAACAATCAATATGATGCGTATAATTATCAATACCATGCCACTATCAATACCAGTAAGCCCGAAAAAAAAATACATACATACATATATATATATATATATATATACCCAAAAATTAGACCAAAAAATTTAAATGTGTGGACTAAATTTACGGAAGTTGTGATAATCCTGACCTTTCCTTTGGAAAGATTGGGCAGCGAAAAGATGAGAGTGGAAACAGGGGCAGCAACCAGTGTGAGGGCTAAGGAACCCACGAAAAGCCCTGGAAGATTACCTAACCCTAATGATATCGCACCTTCATCGCGTAATGGAAGAACCACAAAGTATGCACTTAAAATCTGTAAATCAAAAATTTGAAGAATAATAATTACAACAAGCATAGAAATACCTAAAAAGCACAATTAAGTATTTCCTGAGACATTCTCAGAAACCAAACACATCACTGATGAGAGAGAGAGAGAGAGAGAGAGAGAGATTACGAAGAAGAAACAGGAGGAGGAGTAGAGCAATGCGGAGGTCTCGTGAGGATGAACATTGACGAACAGGGACAAGATCGCTTCGATGCGAGACTTGTTCATCATTTCTTCTTCTTCTTCTTCTTGTTTTCTGTCTGTGACAAATGAATGGATCGGAGAGAAGGAAGAAGAGAACGATGGATTTGGATTTGGAATTTGATGGAGTTTGTGATCGTAAAACCTGCTCTTGGCATTTCTAGGTACGAGGTCAACAGGCATCAGCAATTTTCTTCTTCTTTTTATTTTAATATTCTTCTTCTTCTTCTTAATTGTTAAATCGTTCACACAATAGTATATTAAACCCCTTCTAAACTCGACTCAACTTGATTTTTTACAGGTATGATATACTGAATAAATCATAAAATATGAACTGTTCGGATTATCAAAATTGGGCCTAAAAGTAGATCCGAAGGCCTGCAAGGACGGGCGCAAGGTCGGGAGCTACAAGGAGAGGATCCTCACTCGTTTAATAAAAACGCTGGGTTTATTTTTTATTCAAATAATAATAAGAAAAAATATTATTTCTATTTAAAAAAGAAAACTATATTATTTATATTAAATATATTAAATTATATAAAATATGTATATTTAATATATTTGTATAATTAACATAAATATAATATACATATATATATATATGGGAAATACTATAGTGCACACATTTTATAACTAAAAGTAAAAATGGCATAACTTCAATTTTTTGAGTCATAACTTTATAAAAAACAAAACAAAACAAAACAAAAAAAAACTTACTAATAAGTCTCGTACATAAAGTTTAAAATTCATCTAGTCTCAAAACCAAACACTTTTACTAATTAATCTTATATATTTTTAATTGTTACCAAAAAATCTTATTTTTTTATATTTTTTTTAAAGACACTGTTACATCCCACCACTATCGGACTTCCGTCAAACAGTCATCGGAGACTCACCAGAATGTTCAACATCACTGAAAAGTCTCCGGAATATCACCGGAAATTCGCTGAAGTATCGCCATAATGTTCTGAACGTCACCGGAAGTCATTGGAATGTCTAGAATGTTTGCTAGACATCAAGAATACTGGTGGAGGCTTACTGGAATGTCTAGAATATTGCAGGGAAAGAAAAAAAAAAAGAAGAAGAAGAAGAAGAAGAATAAACTGAGAAATCAAAGTGAAAAAAAAATAAAGCAAAATGTGTTAAATATTAATAAATTGAAAGAAGAAAAAAAAAACTAAGAACAACAAACAGTAATAATAGAAAAAAAAAAATATATATATATATATATATATGTTATTTTCAATTTTTATAGGATTTAAGCAAATAATTTCCAATATTAATTAGACTGAAAACAAGTTTTGAAACTGTAAAATGTTACAGTTTCAAAGTATGATTCTATTAAGTATTTATCCTTATTAATCAAACTAAAAAACATGTTATGAAATTGTAAGATTTTACAGTTTTAAAAAAGTTATGCAACTGTAAAATTTTACAGTTCTAAAGAATGATTCATTTCAGCACCCAAAAACACTGAAATTGTAAAATTTTATAGTTTTCACCGCCTGTAATGAAAACTTGAAAATAACTTGTTTAAAATTTGAAAATTTTCTCCATTATAACAAGAAAATAAAAATGTGTAATGTAGACCATTATAAGCTAAATAAAAAAAAAAAAAGAAGAAGAAGAAAAAAAAAGAGGATTAAAACTGAGAGATCAAAAGAAAGAGATATATATAAAGAGATGCTTATACTTCGACAACTATTTTTTGGTTCAAATCTAGCCGGATTTTAACGTAGATCTACTCATTAGATTTGAGTAAATTCACTCATCTTCTTTGTCATCTGTGAGCGCAAAGAAATGAGTTGGTGCTAGGTGGTTGCCTGTAAACCCCAATCAATGGTGGTCTTTGGTCACCCGTGACTGTAAATTAGAAAGAGAAAGATAAAGAAAATAAAGTAGGCGTGGTCGTCGTGGTCGTCGCCAATATCAGAGAAAGAGAGATAAAGAGAAGAAGCAAGATATAGAAAAGAGGAGAAAATGAATGTGTATAGGATTTTTAAGTCTATCTAAAAGGTTTTGGAATTAAATAGAATATACACTTTTCAAAAAAGATTTGTGGGTAATTTGCCCCCAAAAAATAGGGCTTGGCACGGACTGAAAGGTGTTGTTGGGCCAGTGTGGGCCTACTGCGGGTCCTGTTTTGATAATCTGAACCGTTTGATGTGTAGAACTTGTCGAGTACTATTTACCTGTAAAAAATCACTTTGATCGGATATCAATAACTGCACGATCAAATCAGTTTTGTATATAAAAAAAATGGAAGGTGAAAAAATAAACGGTTGACAAAAATCAAATCCGATGACATAGTTATTGATAATCAACGTGATTTTTTACAAGCATATTATACTTGATGAGTTCTATATATAGAACGATTCAGATTATCGAAACGAGACCCATAGTGGGCCCCCATAAGCCTAACAGCACCCTTTAGTCCAATCACGGATTTGAAGGAAGCCAATTCCTAAAAAATATCATAACTAAAGAAGAAAATTGATCATAACTAAAGAAAAAATGACATAACTAGAGATGCATTACAATTTTCCTATATGTATATATATATATATTTGATTAATATAAATAATTGAAAAAAAAATAATTATCAACTAAAGAAGAAAATTGGTCATAACTATAAATAAATAAATAAAACATAATTAGGGGTTATATAGTACATCATTTTTAAAAAGGTGTATATTAGAATTTCCCTATATATATTTGATTAATATAAATAATTGAAAAAAAAAAATCATTATCAAGTTTTGAGCCGAACTCAAATTTGATTAATATTAATAAGTCGAGCTAATCTCCAGTTGAATTTTTTAGCTCAATATAACAAAAATTTAATCAACTCAAATCTATCTGGTTCGTTTATTATCCTAAAACTATTTTATTATATATAGTATACTACTTACTTGGTAACGTTGTCACTTATTTTTTTTATGCCCAAATTATTTTTATATGACAGCCTTTGCTTTTATTTTAAAATTTGATTTTGCACACCCAATGTGATAAAAAATAAAATCTCTAATCTTTTCCAAAATATAAACAATTTTCAAATTTTGGACAAAAAAAATTGGGAAAAAAATTTACTCGTTTGGAAAATAATTTTTCATTTCATTATCATCATTATTATTATTATGTCAATGGATAAAAGATTATTTACAATCTCAAGGAAATTATATCAAACATTCACCAGCAAAGATCCTTTGTCCCTAAAAATTTTTGTTCCTCTGTCGCAAATCACTTATAATCATTGGATCATATGAGAATCTTAAGATTCACAAATCTCAAAACATATCCAATAAGATTCTCAAATCTCAAAACATATCCAATAATTGTGAGTGATTTAGGACAGAGAAACAGAAATTTTTTGAGGACAGAGAATCGTTGGGGAACTTTCACTACAAACCAACACTAACAACTACAATATCAATACAAGAAAGCGCAAAAGGTTTGCCTTTAGTAATGCCTCACAATAGAGAGTATAAAAGAGTGAACAACTAACCACAATTGATTGTTTCATCTTTCATCTTTCATCTGGTACCCCTTCTTGCCATCAAATTTGTTCTGTTTTTTTGCTTTTATATTTTATGTTTTGAAATAACATCTGTACCAAACACTAATTCTGTTTTTATTTTTTCAACATAGAATTTTGTCAAAGGCTTCACCTTCATGCTGGATGTATCATCACCAGCCACATTGGTTGTTGCACTTCCTTACATCAATCTCCTCTGTTGATAATAATGTTTGAGAGCATTTGGACATCCAACAATCCAGCTGGTTTATCCATCATCTTCATGCTTACAATTTCGACAATCCAGTTCCATATTTTACAAGTGAGGAGAAACAAATGGATTCAACTCAATTGCTCTGAAATCTTTGTAGTTACAAAATAAAAATTTGGAGCTGATCCTCATATGGGCAACTACAGTTTGCATCATTTACAACCCTTTTCCATTCCTACCTGTTAGGTCCCTGTGTTGTCAAATCCGGAGACAAAATCTTGTGTTAATTCAAAACTATGTTTTTCTGTTTTTGTACTGTCCGCTCGAGCGGAGACGCTTGAGCTCGAGCGTAGATTAGCAGGTCACAGTAGTTTGACAGGGCAAGCACAGATACTGGTGGATGTGATTTTACGCTCGAGCGGAAACTCCTACGCTCGAGCGCATCTCTGTTTCTTCGTATGCAGTCTTTGTTCAGTACGCTCGAGCGGGCTATGTTAATCCACACACACACATATATATACAGGCAACTAACCTGCTGAAATCTTGTCTGCCTAAGCTCCGATCTGCTTGCCTAGCTGCAACCAAGTCATCTTCTACCACCTGCAACGTATACAACTTCATCAAGACAAGGGATAGACACAAACTTGCACTTTCATTGAAAACGAACCCAAATTAGAAGTCTGCATTTCAACAGGGCCGGCCCTGACTTATTAGGGGCCTAAGGCGAATTTTTTAAATTGGGCCCTTCATGTATCATTACCTTAAAAAAAATTTGTTTAGATAAAATAAAAAGGATAAAAATTTATTTCTATTGCATTACAATTTAACAAAATTTACACAACAAATATATATATATATATATATATATATACATATCTTCAATTAGTTGAATCGAATCTTTATTTTTTAGGAAAGGAAGGGAGAATTGTGGTGCGGATGCTCTCTCACGGGTTGGAGAACTAGAGTTCCTCGCAGTGTCCTTGCCCGTTGCCGATTGGTGGTCCACACTCCAATGTGAGGTAGCCAACGATCCATTCTATAGTCAATTATTGGAATCAATTCCATCACACCTCCAGCCGCAGTACTTTTTACGTGGTGGAGTTCTTTTCAAATGAGAGTGCATCTATTTAAGTCCTACTTCGCCACTACTTCCAGCAATTTTGTCAACACATCACTCGTCACCAAGTGGTGGACACTTTGGCTATCATAAAACATTGAGCCGCATTAACGCAAGCTTTACTTGGCCTCACATGCGAACTGCAATCAAGGAATTCATCAAAAATTGCGATGTCTATCAACGATGCAAATCTAATTGCTTGCAACCCGCTGGCCTATTGCAACCATTGCCAATACCAGCCAAAGTATGGACTGACATTTCCATGGATTTCATAGAAGGGTTGCCGCTATCCCACGGTAAAACTGTCATCATGGTGGTTGTGGATCGCTTGACCAAATATGCACATTTTATTCCACTCAAGCACCCCTTTACTGCCATCACTGTGGCTAAAGCCTTTATCGAACAAATTGT